GGAGGCAGGGGCGTCGGGGGACTGAGGTGGACTCGGAGTGCGATGGGGCAAACTCAAAGGCAGAGCAGGGGTCAGGGGTCGTACAGAGCCACGGCGCTGGGCATGAGACAGTAGCAGAGGGGTGTCAAGGACTTGGAAGTGGGGTCCAGGATCAGAGGAAGGGTGGGGGTCTGAGAGCAAAGACAGAGTTGGAGGGGCAGGGGCTGGGACTAGGACCCTCATCTTTGTTGAGAAGTCAGACTGGAGGGGCAGACCCACCACCATGCCCTGGACCACCCCCTCTGTTGGGCAGTGGGTGCGTGGGAGGTGGACACAAGGGAGGGTGACATGGCTTCTGGTGGGGGAAGAATGAGGGGTTCTACACTTACTATTGGGGGGATGGGGCAGGAGGGAATCTACACTCACCGGTGTCGGGGGGGCATCCACACTCCCTGGTGGGAGCAAGAGTGGGGGTCTGCACTCACCATAGGCAGCTTCCCGACCCATGTCACTCTGCATGAAGGAGATGACCCCGATGCCGGATGCCAGGAGGCCATTTCGAAACCAGGAGAGGAAGGCTTGGCGGGACGGGGGAGATGGGAGAGAATCAGCACCAGCCCAAACCCTGCCCCCAAAGGGCCTCAGCCCAGACGGTCCAACTGAGGGGCTTGTCATCCCACCACCCCATCCTGCTCCACATTCCTACCATGTCTTGGCAGCCCCCCGCCCCGCAATAACCCTATTCCCCCAAACCCTCTATTGCAGAGGTTCTCAACCTGTGGGTTGCGACCCCTTTGGCGGTCAAACGACCCTTTCACAGGGGTCGCCTAAGACCACCCTGCATATCAGATATTTACATTACGATTCATAACAGTAGCAACATTACAGTTATGAAGTAGCAAGGAAAATAATTGTATGGTTGGGTCACAACATGAGGAACTGTATTTAAAGGGCCAGAAGGTTGAGAACCACTGCTCTATTGTCTCCATCTCTGGGCCCAGCTTCCCCAAACTCTGCAATACCGAATATGCAAGACAGTCTGCAAAACCTGGAGGATCTGGAACCGAAACTGCAGAACCTAAATCTGAGGATAGGAAGACCCCAAGATGTCATCTTGGTCAGCCAGCCCCCACCCATGGGCCGCCCTCTCACTTCTTTCTCAGACCTCCTGACACAAACTGCTCCGGGACCCAGGCCTGATGGCATTCGCGTCCCTGTGCAGTGCTTGCTAACAGGCTAGTTGGGTTACAAACTCCCCATCCCGACCTCAGCTTAGCCCAGTCCTCTCCCAGCGGGCATGAGGCCCCGCCCCCTGCAGCCTGGATCACCTCGCCCTCCAATCAGCCCAGAGCTTTCTTTCTATTGGTTGTCCCCTCCTCCAATCAGGAACTTCCCCCTCTTCGCTATCGATCCACACTCCCGCCTTAGCGGGGTGGTCGCCTCTTCAATGCAAGCTGGTCCCTCCATCGCGGACCCCAGTGTAGACATCCCCCCCTCCCCGCCCTCAGCCTTCTCTGGCAGCCTCTCTCGTCCCGACAGCACAAGCCCGTAAGGATGCCCATCCTAGCCCGCCCGGCCTCCCCGATCCCCACTGCACCCCACTGCCCCGTCCCACCCACAAGCCCTTCTCCGCTGCGGACACACTGCGCTCTGCAGCCAGCGCTTCCCTGCGCGCACACGG